ATTTGAGCTCCATACTATTTCAGAAATAATCCTTGAAGTGGTTTAAACAGGATGGCGTTTTATCACAGCAGAATTTAACTTTATCTCCGGTAGAATTCTGATCAGGCATTAGCTCCGCCTCCTCTTCTTTCCTTTTTTTGAAGCTAAGGACCCAAGATCCGCGTTTCTCTAACAGGGCTTCAAAAGAGGGGTTTGAGCAGTATGAGGCATGGCTACAATGGGTGAACGGTTTGGTATTTTGAAAAAAAAACTTCACAGACATGTTTTGTATAGGTATGGCCCTACAATATATGTTTCAAATATAGCATGATAGGTCCACTTTAAACCATAGATGTTCACTCAAAAGTTTTCCAAGTTCAGACAGAAATATTCAATTGGTCAATCGTTAAGGTGTAATGGTAAAAGAGGATTTCCACAGGGTTCTGTATTTGTCCCACTTGTCTTAGATTATAAAATAATGATTTACCAGAAGTAGAGTTGTATGCAGACAATAATGTTGTTTATCTGGTAGAACTATTAAGTAACATTAAAAGAAACCAACTTGAATTATCAATGTTAAATGGACAAGGATAATTGAATGAAACTTTTGAACCATAGTTTGGTTAGAGCTACTTAAGTACAACTAACCACTGCATAAGACATTTTAGACTCCCAAACTATTACAATTATCACAGAGGACAGTGGTGAGATTATCATATAATTTTCTTTAAAGAGCTACATTTGACTAGAATTGCATTGATCAGCCTAAAAAACAAACACTTGGCCACTATTCTTTTGATACACAACTACATAACTGTATTTGTTTTAATGTAGTGACTCTATAAGAGAACAATCATCCTATACTTTATATTACTAAAGATATTTGTTCTTGCTCTTGTCTATTTCTGTTCTCATAGAGCAGGAGTTCTGTTTTTTTTATTGACTATTGTATAATTCTGAATTCATGTTCTTTTTTTCAGATCTTAATTGCACTCAGATCAGCTAGTCATTGGACTGGGAGAGAGCACTTAAAATCAGGGAACTCACTGGAACCACCTCAGTGATCCCAGTGGTCACTTATCCCATCACTTATCAAACCTATATGTTGTGCATCTAGGAGTTTTGATTGATTAATAATTCACATTTACAGATTACTAATGTGTATGTTAATGCTTATTTGAGCAATTAGTTTCAGGGGTGTGTCTCCATTTCCATTAAATCGTACATAAGATACAAAGATTTTTACATGTGCGACTTGCATCACGACATGCATGTAGACCTGAAGCAACGTAATAACTTGTAATCTACTGCAGCTTATATTACTTTGTACATTAAACTGGCTTGTGTAAGCCCTATCTTTACATGTTCAAAGATCTGAGTGGAAAGCACAGACTATTTGGCTCCTAATTGATTCTTTTGTTCAGCTCAACCCCCATCAGCATGAGGCTGAGCTTTCATTATTGGCCAAGAAAAGAAGGAGGGATGGAGAAATGGACAGATAGAGCATGAAGAGAGATAGTTAAGGATGGTGAGCGATAACGAGGAGAACAAAGTACCCTGTAGGATTAGCAAAAAGGGTGGATAATAGGGAGCAAGTGTGACCGCAGATACAGTAGTGAGAGTGAAAAGTGGAGAAGGCATTGGAGATGAGTGAATCATATACTGTAACTTATCCTCCCAGTTCACCAGAGACCAAAGATATAGAAGCAGGAAGGCCAGACTCCAGGTAGCCTCAGGGAAATGAGAGGGCATTTTTTCACGCTCGAAAAGGTCTTCCCCGTACCTAACTGGCCACTCTGGCCACCGGTCCTGTACGCTGGTCCCAGCTTGGTGCTTTGTCAATGTGCTGTGACTAATCCAGGAGGGGTCCCGCATTTTCTCTCACCCTAATTAAAAGAGGATTAGATGGGATGGAGCTCCAGGCCACTCCAACATGCATAGCCACCGTCCTCTTCGCTTTCCCAGGATAATCACACTTACTGGAATTGCCTGGATTTATGTTGCAGACCACCACCTGAACACTGAAATAGTTGGTGCTACTGAGACTTAAGGGCTTACAATTATGGATTGGTCAAAAAAAAAAAAAAAGAGACACTGTAGCCATTCCCAAATAGGTGTCTACTTATTATAAATTCCATAATTGGCTTTGTTTCCAATATATACTTCCTAAATTGTGATTATAAAGATCCCGGTGGCTTCACATTAATCAGTTTTATCATAATTGGTGCATGCGTATGGGGTTGTTTTAGATTATTTAAATCCCAATAACACCCATGTTTGTTTGTTTTACAATACCCAGTTATTAACATCAGTCTTATCAAACAATTTATTTAATTTAGCATATATTCATTGCATTTAACAGAATTTTGAATAACATCAAAATAATGTTGGTTAAATAAAAATATATAAACTAAGCAACCACATAAATTGAAGAGTTTGTATGCCCATTATAGAGTCTTAAAGGCAACTTTACTGGGACCACACAGAGACAATACTGGCACCAGTTGTCAACATAGATAGATTTCCATCCAAATGCTTCTTGCCAGCTTCATATTTAACTATGATTTGTTCATCTATGATAAATATACAAAAAGTAAAAAGCATATTTTCAAATGTGCGAAGTACATTCAAACTCTATGTATGTAGTAACACAACATTTAAAACAATGATGATATCATTTAGATATATAATAGAACAGAATAATGTGGCTCCTATTGTGTGCATAATTAGAAGAGAATGCTAATTTGGAAGGTTAATAATCAAAGTTGCGTTCAGCTGTTAACTAATTCTGCCCAGTGGCCTATATATAGCCATGTGAGATTAGCCAGTTTGAAGTGCTGGCTTATTTAGAGACCAGCTGCCACGAAGAACACAGCCCCTCTGCACATGATTGTTGATATATGGTGAAGCCTAAAAAAAATTGACCTCTGAGACCTTTACCTTAACCCAGGACATCATGTCAGTGCCTGCTATGGGTAAAGGCTACAATATATTTCCAAGATGTACGGCTTGAATTTACGATAATTTTATGTCTGTGATTTCACCATCCAGATTGCATCACAAATCCAGCATGGAATAATATTTTGTTCAATGTATCACTAAAGCTCCAAGCGCTAAATTAGATGTTTCTAGCGGATGTCTTCTTCATTAGAAAGAGAAGAGAAGAAGCCAGGATTTAATAAGTATTGTATTATTATGCTTTATGTATATAAGCATTGGAGACGTTCATTTCAGAGAGTTCTTATAAATAATGTTGATTCAAGTCCACATGCTCTTTTTTTTCCTCTCCTCAGAACATGCCGTTTGCTCAGTTGATATATCACCTAAGTACTATAAATACATTATTACCTTAAAGTTTGTTTTAGCCTATAACTATTGCTCTATATGAAATTAAAAGTTTGGAGACAATTAAAAAAGAATGCTTTAAACTATATTTGAAAATACAAAAGTTGGATTATTTTTCAAAATGAAAGCTAATTTGAGATGTTTGCAATCATAAGAACAATGTGTATACTACGGTGGCCCTGAAGTGCAAGACACCACAGCATTTCACAAAACACTACAGCATTTCAGAAAACACCGCAGTATTTCAGAAAACGCCGCATTATTTCAGAAAACACCACAGTATTTCAGAAAACGCCACAGCATTTCACAAAATGCCACAGCATTTCAGAAAACACCACAGCATTTCACAAAACGCCGCAGCATTTCAGAAAACACCACAGCATTTCAGAAAACACCACAGCATTTCAGAAAACACCACAGCATTTCACAAAACGCCGCAGCATTTCAGAAAACACCACAGCATTTCAGAAAACACCACAGCATTTCAGAAAACACCACAGCATTTCAGAAAACACCACAGCATTTCAGAAAACACCACAGCATTTCACATTGGACGGAAAGGGTATTCCTTTAGGGAGAACACTTCTTGTTTGTGATTGGACAGAGCCAGTCAGAGAAGCACTGCTGTGATTGGTTGTTTTTGCTGCCAGTCAAGAAATGACGCTTCGTGATTGGCCCAACACATCAGCCGTTAGCTGTTAGCACACATTCAGAGCTGGGTAAAAAGAATACACTTACATCTTTATTGAAATATTTAATGATTTTATTTCACAGTTTTATGACTTTTTGTTTTTATATTCACTTAAGTAAAATTACCATATACAATCAACAAGTATATCATGTTCAAAATATGTAATTACACTTGACCAAATATGCCTGCAGTGGTGTAAAGTAACTAAGTACATTTACTCAAGTACTGTACTTTAAGTACTCGTTTGAGGTACTTGTATATTGACTTGAATATTTCCATGTTATGCTACTTTGTACTTCTACTCCATTACAATTATTTAATACCTTTAGTTATTTGGATTAGTGATGTGAAATATAATCAACACTTAAATAAGACTGTAGTTACACCTGGAGTAAAGCTACCCTGCAGTGCAGTATACAAAGTCATTCAAACTAGCTGCACCTTTACTAGCTTTGATAACACTTCAATCATTATAATCAAAACATATAAAATATATTATTCAGAAATAGATCAATTTGCATAATGAGAACTGTTAGTACTTCAAATATGTTGATGGATGCCAATACATGAGTAGGCCTAGGGCCTACTTGTACTTGAGTAAGATTTTGAATGCAGGACTTTTAATTGTAACAGAGTATTCATACACTCTTCATACACAAGATATTACACATTCAAACATATTTATTTTGACTTAAACCGATATATTCCTGCACTTTAAGTTTATCTGCCTATTGAAATATGATTGCTTGTTGTGTGTACGTTGTCTTCACCTGAATGTTGTAGCCTACGTCTCTTGTTTGTTTTTTGTATTTTTGATGGCACCTTAAAAAAAGGAGTAGCTCTACTATCTCATTGTACCTGTATAATGACAATAAATGATTTTATTCTATAAGAGTACTTCTCCCACCTCTGAAAATGTGTAATTAGTAATTACACGTAACAAATATGCCTGGGAAACGCGACCCCCTTTCTGCGTCATAGCACCTACAAGCCAGAGTTGAGGGCAAACCCACTCCACTCCCACTGCAGCAGCTCGTACGCTCTCCAGTAAACACGAGGCGACCGTTGCTCCCTGTTATATATACGTTATTCGCCTCATCTATGGATAACGCCGAAGAAAAGGTAGCCATGAGAGAATCAAAAAGACGAGAGCGTCAATCAGGTAACGCTTTCTCACTTTAAAAGCGTGCTATGTGGGTCAGTTTAGATAATAGCGTGTATTCAGCAGTAGCAAAGCCAAACACGAATACCATATAATTTGGCTCGTGCATTAATGGTTTATTCAACTGGAATTGTTAACCTGGTGTGAACATATCGAACGCAGCGTTAGCAGTCAATGCTAATTCCTGATAGCTAACATTGACCAATACTAGCTTGCTCCACTCACAAGCTAGTATCTTACTATAAACATTAAGCTGTCGGTAACGTGTCAGTATTTACAGTTAATATGCCAATGTGAAACAAATGCGGTTTAATATAATAACACTGGTTGTATTATAAAATGAGCCCAACGTTAGTTAGAAATGACAGTAACGGTTGTTCATTCGGTGGTTGGCTTTTTTGCAGGTTATGTTTATATATAACGTTGGTACTGACGTTATATAGGTGGGGAAACAAATTGTACACGCCGACATCCTGAGATATAAGCTTCGTAGTGTTTTATGTGTTTAGGACATGATGACAAACCTTGTTAGCAACGTTAGCCACACTACAGGGTGGGGTCATTTGATGAAGCCCTGTGGTAATCAGTATTGATTATGTCAGTGACGTCGTCGCAGGGATGTAGAGCAGCATCAGCACCAATCCAGGCCAGTTTAGGGCTACATGTTGGCCACTTGTTCCCCTAAATTTAAATTAGGTAAATAGTCGTTTTAACACCATGTACTGTTAGTGGTTCAACGCTCTGACTTATCACTTTGTCTGTAGGTTCAAGCAGGTATGATTTACGTGATGTTGAAGGTACGGATCTCCCTCATTTAATGGTTGCATGTCATGATCAATTGTGCACTAAGATAACATGTGGGTGGAGGTGCCATTAATCTTAACTAACCACATGTACAAAAGGTGGGTGTTCGGAGATGGATGAAAAGGCTGCTCTGATGTATGATTGGATTAGAAATGTATGTCTATAGAAAGAGATTATTAAAATGTGCTTCTTCACTGTGTTCATTTCAGTACGCATTTACTTCCACTAAACATTTATATCTGTTGTTTTTTCCCCCTAGCCTTGGAGGATTCGGACAATGACATCGGCTTGTGTGGCTGGCTGTTGGTGGCCCTCTCCATCCTTCTCATGCTGCTCACTCTGCCCATCTCTGTATGGATGTGCATTAAGGTCAGCTGCCAGAGAAATCAAGTGTTTATTTTCCACTTTACAAATAAAGCTTGCTGGTAGTACATATATGAGGAAAGCCTGCTCTGTTTGTTCAGTGTTTTCCACATCATATGGCTTCCACTGCAGACTCATCTTCTATATTATTTACTTAACAGCTATTGTTTTGCCTTTACTTAATTAAAAGGCATCCACAGCGAGCAGGGTAATTGCTCTGTGTTTCTTCATTTACATATCTCAATATCTGTTTACATGTGTAAAATGTCAAATAACAGAGAAAAAACAAACTCGCAAATTCCATTTATCTGGTTTGTCTTTGTACGCAGATTGTGAAGGAGTACGAGCGAGCCATTATCTTTCGCCTGGGGCGGATTTTGCGAGGAGGAGCCAAAGGCCCAGGTCAGAAAACCTTTTATTCACCAGCATTTGTTTTTTGTCCTCTCCACATCTTCGTTTTTCTCCACTTAGATACGACATGATGATTGTCTTTACCTTTCTTTTCTGTGGGGATAATAAGAATTGAACAACATCTCATTTTGTTATGCCGTAATATCTGCTTTGTAGAGAAAATAACTCAATAAAACAAAAATATCTTCTAAGCCAGTTGTTTCACAAGTTCATGTTTAGATTGTCACATTACAATGTAGGTGTAGTTGCATTCTATTGTACTATAAAGCTTATAAACAAGAGCTTTTTCTTCCCATATATTGAACGTTATGGTTTATGTGATGAGTCATTTGGAGAAAGGCTGAATGTTTATTAAGGATCCCCATTAGCTTTTGCTCTCGACAAAAGCTACTCTTCCCGGGGTCCGACACTTAAAACAATACAACAATAATACAGCAACATTTAGGACATAAGTCCTGACATTATTAACAACATTAAAAACATCACCAATATCATCAACAACATGCGATCAAATTAAATTAAGTTAGGGTTCACAGCTCACAAGGGTACATGGTCATTAGTAGATGGCCCTTCAATCTCTTCTTGAAAGAGGCTCTGGACTCTATTTCAGTAAGGTAGTTTGCACTGAGTTCCATTCCTTTATAGCTCTATAAGACACAGAAGGTTTCAGAAGATGTGTCCTGGGTTTAGGTGCCAGTGGATGGCCTGATGTAGCTTGTCTAGTCTTATGGTCATGCTCGTCTCTTGTGTAAACTATTTGATCATAAAAATACAATTTGCTAAATTGGACATTTTTTAGAAAAGTGATAACACGAGATTGCAGACGTTTCTCAACCGGAAGCCATGATAGGCTTCTATGCATAACTCCAATATGAGTGCGCTTCGAACAGTGGAGAGCTAGTCTGGCAGCCTTGTTTTGAGCTGTTTGTAATTTCTGTAAATGTGCTTTTTTTTTGCTGCTGATGACCATTATGACCGGACAGTACTCAAGATGTCAATTCAATTCAATTCAAAACCTTTATTTATCCAGGTAAAATCCCATTGAGATCAATGATCTCTTTTTCAAGGGAGACCTGCAGCAGTAGGTTCCACAAGAAGACATAAAAACATAAACAACAGAACAACAAAAGGACATCATACAGCAAAATGTACAGGGATTACAATTTACATATTTAACCACAAGTACAGGTACCAACAGCATCTGATTTTGTAGCATCCAACCGAGCTTTAAAAACATGTAGTGGTACTAGCTTGGTAATTTTCCATTCTTTTTGCAGACTGTTCCATGTTAGTGGAGCTGCACATCTAATAGCTTTCTTCCCTAAGACAGTCCTAGCACTTGGCACATTTAATAAAACCACAGCATGCGATCTCAGGCAATAAGTACTTTCAATTCGCAGAGAGATCAGGGAGCAGATATAAGATGGTAGTTTATCCAACATGGCTTTGTAAATGAAAAAGTACCAGTGACTGAGCCTCCGTACAGTAAGTGATGGCATAACCGCCTTGGTATACAGGGTACAGTGATGCGTAAGTGCTTTACAATTTATCAAAAATCTCAGTGCACTGTGATACGCAGGTATCTAACTTGCTCAGGTAATTGGCAGGTGCATTCATATATAACAAATCACCCTAATCCAGCACAGGTATAAAGGTCACAGAGCCTTTTCCTGGCCTCAAGCGAGAAACAGGACTTGTTCCTGTAGAAGAAACCTAGCCTAACCCTCAGCTTTTTAAGCAGGTTATTGACATGAAGTTTAAAAGTGAGACAGTCATCAAGCCAGATACCTAAGTATTTGTAACAGGTAACCACTTCAAGTTGTATTTCTTGCGTAGTTACAATATCCAAAGCAGTGTCTGGTGTCTTTTTAGCTTTAGCTTTTGAGATGTGACAAAACCAGAGACTGAATGACTTGTTTCAAAGTGGTTGGTGTTACATACTTTGTACATTTTCTCGCCAAAGCTATGCTCCTTCCCATTTTAGTTACGATACTGTCAATTTGCTTTGTCCACCGTAAACCAGAATCAAGAACAATGCCAAGCAACTTAGTGTCGTTGACCTGTTCCACTGGCTGACCAGCCGGCGTCAGGCTTAATGAGGATAGCTGCTTAACATCTGTCTGGATCCGAACACCATTGCTTTTGTTTTTGCAATGTTGAGTACCAGTTTGTTATTGTTGACCCAGTCTGGCTTTCATCTCTATTTTACGTAGATAGTTTAACTCACTGCATGTTGATGCTGTACTGTACTTTGTGGAATCATCAGCATACATTATTACACTGGACTTATTTAATACGTAAGGAAGGTCATTTGTGAAAATAGAATACAACAAAGGCCCAAGCGAACTCCCCTGTGGGACCCCACACTGCAACACCTGACTTTATCCAATCTAAACCAGTGGCCTACAGGCAGCAGAAACCACAGCACAGAAAGGATGCCAGAGTTGTGTGGGCTTCCTGTTTGTTTATCAAATCAACTCTAAAACCTCTTGAAACGATCAGATAGTGTTCGTCATAGCGCATCAATCACTCTTTCTTTTGACCACATGTTCATGATGTCAGAGAACCTATAAGAGCAAACAGAACTAAAAGGACCGTCAACAAATCTGTTGTTGACTCTTTGTTTTCAATTCACTTAGACGCTTGGCTCTGCACTCTATCACACTGCCACACGAACTCTAAACACACACACACACACACACACACACACACACAAACACTTGGTATTTTCCCAGCATACTCTACCAAGCCTCTATTGCAGCCATTTTGCTCTTTTTTGGGAGGCTTTTTGTTTTAATACTCCATCGGTGAGACACATATTTGTTCTTAGAAAACTATGTAGTATATTTTTAATCAACCTAAAATCAGGATATTTTCTTAAACTACACTACCAGCCTTTTTACCCAATAGGAAAAACCTTCCCCTAAAGCTGAAAGTCGTCACTTCAACTTAATATTCATTGTTTAATGTCAGTGTTGTACAAAGCCAAACAATGGTCATCGTGTGTTTGTGTCCATTTACGCAAAGGCTTCTGTACTGTGGGGGACTTTTAACTCTGGGAGTTTTGGGACTTACTCATTTGAAGAAAAACTCATCTTTAACCTGCATTTTTTTAAGGCCAGTATTTTAAATGCCAACCAATATTTGTTGTAGTTGCCTGTAACTCGTTAGATTTAAGATTAAGAAGACCTAAAATCACACAAATTACGTGTGCAAGTGATGCTCAAATGTAACACAATGTAAGTTGCATAGATAATGTTATTTGATATATCGTTGCACATCAAATATTGTTTGTATATAAACCAGATTATTGTCCATGCAGCTGCAGTTCATGATGATCATATTCACATTCTCAGTTCAGCACGTTAGCAGCCCAACATTTGCTTCTTAGCACATAACACCAAACACAACTGAGACTAATGAACATGTTGATAAGTGTAGCAGGTATTTATCCTAAACCAAGGTATTTTTTTTATAGAAGTAAAACAATTGACGTGATGTTGCTTGAGAAATATTTAGGCGATTTCCGAGGTGGGGTACGTGAATGTCTGTACTAAGCCTCACAGCAATCCATCCAAGAGCAGTTGAGGCATGTCTCTCAAAACCACAAATGTCAACGTGTTGGAGGCACTAAAGGAAATGGAATTTTCCATCCCTCGGATAATGCTGCTAATATGGCTAAATAATGTATTTGCTAAATTGAAGAATACAAGAATTGAGCGTAAAAGAGGAAAGGCATTCATCTACTTCCCCATAAACCCATTTCCTGTTGGCAATAAGACAGAAGGCAAGGCCATGGTACGGAAGAATGAAACGGGGAAATAATGTAGGCCTAATAATACCTCAAAGTTCAGCCAAGTTCAGTGACGTCCAATTCATATGGGCTCCCTCTCCACACAGCCATATGTCTGCCAATGCTACCACATATTTGTATTTTCTGTTCAAGGTCTGAATGATTTAATCATTCTATTCTCTGTGATGTGACTGTCTGTTTTGAAAGGCAGTGGATTTGTTTAAGCAAAGTAACACAGACTCCCATGAGGAATCATTTGCATACATCTCATAACTCGCTGTCGTTCATCTTTGATTTCCTGTTTTACGGGATCTAAAAACCAGGCAGTGTCCTCTCAAAATGCTGAAATGTGACTCCTCAGGGTGCCAGGGGACCCCGTTTATGACAGTGTGGAGTAATAATAGCTCTGTGGCAGCAAACTTCACATTCCTATAGAGCTGGAGGAGCTAAAGTTGAATTTAGCATTTGGTTCCCATAATGCCACTCAGCCTCATGCACCTAACCCGGCTGCCTCTCCACCTGCTATACTGTAGTGACTGTAAAACACATCCCTGTATGTCTAGTTTAAAACAAGCTTGCAGGAATAGTTTGTCATAAACTGAAAAGTGTGTGTGTGGAACATTTTGCATCTGTAAACACTTTTCTCCCGCCATAAACAGAGATGTTTAGTGAAAGCTTTTTCCACCCTGCCTCAGTGGAATTTTCCACTTCACTACAAGATGGTTTATGTCTGACAGGAACAGTAATCGTTTCTGGAAATGTCACGAAGAAAACCGTGCTAGTAGTTATCTTCCTTTCCCCCTCCTGAACAGATGGCTGTGATCCCACCACTCAAACGCACACAATATCCTGACAGGAAATGCAGCCCACAAGTCTATCTGGTGTGGCATTAATGTTTTCTAAATGATTGCACACCTAGCACATGTCTGTTCCACTCAGGCACATGCCTAGTATTGTTTAATGCACTAATTCAATCGTTGTGACTTGAAACAGGCTTATGAAAGCTGCAAATATCCGCAGCTTTGCCTCGCTGTCGGCACAGCTGCAGTCTTATAAAGAGAGCTCGACTTGGCCTCTTGCCAGCATTTCATTCATCCCGGTGTTTTCAAACATTTGCGAAGACGCTTCCTCATTATTGTGTTTACCGTGGCTTTAGTCTTTGTTAAAAACTATTTGCATTCTTGTGATTCCGCAGGGCTGTTCTTCATCTTGCCGTGCACTGACAGCTTCATTAATGTGGACATGCGCACCATCACCTTCGACATCCCACCACAAGAGGTACACTTCTTTCAATTACATTAAACAAATACTTTGTCACATTCACAGAAGTTCTAAGAACATCAAAAGGATTGTGCAGCTTCTTCATACAGCAATACAAATCATTTTATGCTTCCATTGATGCTTTTTCCTCTAGGTTCTGACCAAAGACTCTGTGACAGTGAGTGTGGACGGTGTGGTGTACTACCGGGTGCAGAATGCTACCCTGGCGGTGGCTAACATCACTAATGCGGATGCTGCCACCCGGCTGTTGGCCCAGACCACCCTGAGGAACGTCCTGGGCACCAAGAGTCTGGCTGAGATCCTGTCAGACCGGGAAGAAATCGCTCACAGCATGCAGGTGGAGTGCAACAATATCTGTTATACACACTGTCTGAAAAGCAGAATTTGAGTGGCACATTACTTTGAGACAGTTGTCCTGAACAAGCTGCAGTTAAGATGTGTACTATCCACTGTAGGCGAAGAAGTCCTCGGCTGTCAGTCTGCTGTAACTTCAATTCTTTATTTATTCATTAAACTTTCACTTTCAGTTTATGCTGAGCCTCTGTATATTAGATCTGTTTCAGATGCACACAGTCACATTCATTCATATCAGTTATACTTTATGTCTTCAGTATTACAGTACACTAATTGTCTTAAAGTCAGAGACGCTGTTAATGTGTCAAACGAGGTTTTCTGCACACCAGCAGACAATCTCCACTCCATCTCTTCTTTAATCAAACTGGGATTTGCTTGTGGCAAGTTGTGCATTGCTGCCATCTTATGGCATTCATTGGGGTTGAATTGATTGGCCATTTGGGAACTCAACTCTGTTAAAATATATATAATATCACACAGCTAATATCTCTCTGATCCAGTTGTCAGACAACTTTAGAAGCATAAGGATTTTTCTTACATTGCAGGACCTGTGAAGCAAGAGTGATTCCTTTACCGCTGCATCAACAGCCTCAAACAAATAACTGTTATTAGTCGTACACACCATAAACAAAAACACACAAGCTTCTATACACAGATGATCAAGCATGCAGCACAGAGCGTAGCCTCAGCTGTTTAATGTTTGCTTTGCCAGTTAGTGGTCTGTCTGATTTGATTAAAAGCAACAACAACAAAGCTACTTTCTCCGTTATCGCCTCTGTTTTAAAGAACAAGTCCTGTTTTAACCTAAACACCAACTGTGCTGTAAATGTATTTCCTTTCTGCAAGAGAAAAACACGTGCTTACTTTGAGCTCCATCTGCTGGCCAAATTGAAAAAAGCAACACAGTTGAAGGGAGTGTTGGGCTGATCAAGATTTCACATATCTTAATCCTGTCCTACGATTGAATTGTTATCTCTGTGTCTTCTCCAGTCCACTCTGGATGGTGCTACAGACGACTGGGGGATCAAGGTGGAGCGGGTGGAGATCAAAGATGTTAAGCTGCCCGTCCAGCTGCAGAGAGCGATGGCTGCTGAGGCCGAGGCCACCCGGGAGGCCAGAGCCAAGGTGAGGGCGCTCTGTTCAGACCAGCAGATCCTCTCAAACATCTATACATCTCTAGATATTATTATTACAAGTTTTAGTTGACTCTTTTGGTCAATTTGGACTTTCAGCAGCCTCTCATTCTCGACATCAGACCGATGTTAAGGTTAAGTGTCTACAGTCATATCAATCCGCAGAAAGAAGTTCACTTTTTCAATTCATTTGTTATAGTTGTTGCGAATATGATCATTTAGACCAGGGATGGGCAAATGGCGGCCCCTCCTTTTTTTTTTACTTGTAGTACTGATACCGTCCACTAGACTCCTAGTTAGGTCGCGAGCTGCGTACATGATTTCGTTCTGCAGCCAGATACCGCAAAACAATCTGTGAGGCGTTTGTGTGTATTGTGTTTGTTTCCCGGGGAAACGCTCACAAGAAACACCGGCTGTTGTTACGCCTGCTGTGACGTTAAGTCACCGCTTGTAATTATGCCGTTACAAGCTTAAAAGTTGTTTTTATCATCTGAATTTGGGGAAACAAGTTTAATATTCTAAAAACCAAGACTTTGCTTATTTGAAATCAGATGAAAACAAACTGTCACGGACCCTGCCGTGTTATCTATGATTACTATACGCCTTTCTCAGCCTTTTCCCCTCACCTCTCTCCCCTCCTGTTTCTCCTGAAGGTGATCGCGGCGGAGGGAGAGATGAACGCGTCACGGGCCCTGAAGGAGGCCTCCCTGGTGATCTCAGAGTCTCCGTCAGGCCTGCAGCTGCGCTACCTTCAGACCCTCAGCACCATCGCCGCCGAGAAGAACTCCACCATCATCTTCCCGCTGCCTATGGAGATGATGCAGGCCTTCATGAAACGTTGAGGCAGTCGTGAAACACACACACACACACACACTTACAATAACACACCTTTAGGACCTGTGTCTATTAAGTGCTCTGATGACGCATTTTAACACCTCTAGAACAAAACTGACCACATGTATGATCTATGCCTGTGAGAGGCAAACTTTATTAAAAGAAAGATATGTGGCCTTACAAACACACACGACGGATCCATGGTGCAATGAGGTCATCTAAATGGATTCAGAACATAGAAATCGGCCAGAGTAGCATTAAAGAATTCACATACTGTACCATTTCATCTCTGTCACCGCAGGCCAGCACTAATACCTTTTTTAAATTCCAACAGATATTAAAACTCACAAATCGCGCCCTGTGAGAACATTTAACGGCTGTCCCCACCATGCAGCAGGGTGTCAGAGCGTAAACACTGAAACAAGCTTTATTTATATTTAAGATTGGGAGATGTAAAAAACACTTTTACCCTCATTATAAGGGACATTATAATCCTTAAAAACCTGCTGAAAATGTGCTTAATTCTTCTGTAGTGTGGACTGTGCGTTAAACACCTTTTCTCCATGAGCCAGTACTTAAGTATTGTCAGGCAGGATGTTACCAATGTTTACACTATTCATACCAGGTATATGTTATGTTTAGATGGGTGGACAACACATTTGAAACATCATACTTTAGCATACAACCTCATTAGCTACACCTAAGCGCTACCGTTTAATAACGCTTTTTCTCTGCAAATTATTCAGCCAAAAGCCTTAAATCACTGCCATGGATCATTTTACAGCCTGATGACATATCTATGCACCTTCAAATGAAATCAGCTGAAGCATTTTAAACAATATTTGATCACATATACTCTTTCTAAGTGTTAACAAGCCAAATAGTTCCATGTTATTTGTATTTATCTTTCTTCAAACTAACATGTGGTTGTTATGTTTTCCTCCTCTCGACATAAAGAGCAGACGTGTTGGTAAATGTTCGTAAAAGTATGTAGTGTATGTCTGTTAGTATACTATGTGTTTATATTACAATATATATAATTGCGTTCCGACGCGGTTTCAGGTTCGTCACGGCCAAATCTCGGCTTGAATTCGACTTTTTTAATTTATGTTTTTGTGAAATAAGGGAACATTTGTGCTACGACTGCAAAGCAAAGGATGTTTGATAACCTGTGTTTGTTCCAGGACAAAGAGAAATAGTCTCTTGTAGTATTGCTTACACTTCAGGAAAACCCTTTTCATTGAAGTATTACTTACATTGCTGTCTTCTAAAACATGTTACACACATCAGTTTTATTCAGCATTTATGGTGTTCAGTTTTCGCAGCTAACCAGTTTTACTTTGTAATGTTTGCTATAGTTTTATCCTGACAAGATCTGACTGTATGAAAACCTGAAATAAAGCTGTATCAAACAGGATTTCCGTCTACGGATTAAATTATTTTCAGCGTGGGTTGAATCAGAGACAGGAAACACTTCACGTTTAATCTGGTTTTATTGAAATGATGACGAGGCTTAGGGAAACCTTAGAAAGGTTCAGAGACGTGACTGGTTTGAAAAGCAGCAAAGCGTTGGTTTCCCTTTTTTAAGTGGCAGCATCACACAAGCTTTCCTGGGACATTTAAAAACAATAAATAAAGGAAGCATCTAAACTAAAGGTGCAATATCTATAAAGGCAACTTTCAACTAGAAAAGTACCTTTTGTAAAACATCAGGTTGACTGTAAACTACAGGAAGAGAGTATTAAGGCATCGGCTGTATTGCTTTCTGCGGTGAGTTTCTGATTTGTTTGCATTACATTTCACTAGTGACCAGGTCTAAAAGTCCTCGTATATATAAAAAAAAATTGGCTTCAATAAAGCAATTTTTAGTGCAAATCCTAAAGGAAGCCTGTGTGTGTGTTAAAGCTCTATTGCTAGAGACAAAGTGAAACAACCTGTGTCCCTCACAAACACGATAAAAGGTAAAGACATCTGGGCGTATTGGCGGCTAACAGTCTTCTGATTGCTTAGTGCTTGCGGGGGAGCAGCGGGGTCGAAGGTCAGGGCTGATTGTGGGGGGGGGGGTGTCTCACAGGGCGAGTTCAGCCATGGCGCGCTCCAGGGGGTCGCTGGCCCAGTACTCGTGGTCCCAGCCCAGGAACCAGCCGCTGAAGGTGGGCGGCTCAAAGCCCTGCTTGATCTTGACGATGGGCGTCCGGGGGTCTCTGTTGGCCGGATCTGTCTCAATATATTGGGCCGCTGAAGAGGAAGAGAAGAGTCTTTACTAAGCGTCATGGCATTTGAAATGCAGAGCAGAAAAATCTGATTTGACCAAAATACAAGACATGCAAACTGATCAGTGATGTCCAGTATCAGGTAAGTCACTTTGAATACCTTTTGATGATGTAATGCACATATGTTTGAAACTTTTATATTTAATAAGTTGAAATAAGATTAAATTACTTTTGTTTCTACGGAAGCCCTACAATGCAAGTGAGACACAAACAGTTCTCTTAATCCATATAAAACTAAATCTCAACTTCACCTAAAATCTCTTTTGTCAAGTCAAACAGGAGTGAAAATTATTCAGAATATTTTGTTCACTGCCTTACAGGGCTTCTTTCTGTATGTAGTTTTTTTTGGGCAATGTTCCTGATGTTCTCAATTGAAATGTTAAATGTGTTTTGTTTTTTATTGATATAACAAAATCTCAATACTCCTTAAAGGTCCCATGACATGGCCATTTCTACTGATCATAATTCCATTGTTGAGGTCTACTAGAATAGATTTACATTGTTCAATGTTCCAAACTCACATTGGTTTCTCATACAGCATCTCTGTATAGTATGTGCATTCACTCTGTCCTAAACGGCTTGTTGGAGCTCCTGCCCCCCCCTCCCTCACTGTGCTCTGATTGGTCAGCTCGCCCACTCTGTTCTGATGAGTCCACCACCGTTACAGCGGAACATCAGTGATGATTATGTGTTACAACGGCGTTAGCAACCAGGAAATGACACCAGTAATGACAAACAGATGAGAATGCTGCGTGGGGTCTGGGTGCCGTGTTGGCGGGACGTTGCGGGGCTGGAGCGGACAGTGTGAGCTGTATTACTGGTGTCATTTCCTGGTTGCTGCGTGGGGTCAGCGAGACATCGCGGAACTCAGCCTGAGCACACACACACACTCACAGCCTGAGAAAATATAAGGCTGAGTGAGTGTGTGTGCCGGCGAAACTCCACTGAGTGGCGCGGCTAAGAAAATATAAGGCTGAGTGTATGTGTGTGTGTGTGTGTGTGAGGAGCACCACGGATTGGTCCATTTGGTCGTCGTTAGGTCACTTTGACCAGGAAGAAAAAAATGGAAAGAAACATCTCCAACGAGGCGTTCTGGGGCAGCATAGACAGGTATTTTCTGTGTTAGAGTTTTACTCGCTACAGGGTGTACTTTGAGGGTTTGTGACTCTGCAGACCGTTTACATGCATACAAAGCTACATAACACACAAGGGGACTGGTAATAACCGGAAAAGTATGACATGGGACCTTTAAGCATTCTCAAAAAAGTCAGTTTAGGATGGCAAAGAATTATTTTGAAATGTGTATACATGGAGGCAAGTTTTTGTGGCATTTACCTTTTTCTCTACTACTTTTTCACAAGTCTAAATGATGTAATCTCCACAGAAGTAAATATCATATCTTATAACATAATGTGGAGCTTTTTCCCAGATGTCCTTACCAGACTTCATGGCTTCAGTCTTCTCCTCCTCTTGGGCCTCATTTCCAATCCAGACAAACACCTACAAAAAGGAAGGTTTTAAACACATTGGTGCCTTACATCGTGGTGACTGCTGTTCATTTATGTCTTAGACTGTGAATGCTCTGGTTGCTTTACCTGGTCCCAGGAGTCCAGGATCATGACATCATCGGTGGCGAGGTCCTCTTGGGTCATCTCCCCGGGTACCTCCTCAATCTGAGACGAAAAGAAGGATTTGCACGATGTTCAATAATTGATTTTGTAAAAACTGTTAGAACCCCTTGTGTTCTGTGGATTTTCCAACGTAACAGAGACATTTATTCTGGAAAGGCAAGTTGTTGTTGATTAAAGGAGTCTTTTAGTTGTTTAGCTTACGATGAAGTTTCCAGTCTTGTTGGAGCAGGCGAAGAGTCTGGGTGGGTGAGCGTCCATCTTGTCCTTGAGTCTGGTAGAAGTGCGATATTCTGCCTTTCCTCCCAGAGCCTCCCAGAACTCATCTGTAAAGAAGACGGACACACTTCAGGTTATTATAGTTTTTTATGCTGTCAAATAAACATTTCAGCAGCTTAAGATATATATATATTCACATTTTTTTTTGGAACCATCCTTATTTACATTACACAGTTAAATATAAAGCTCAGATGTTTTTTAGCTTAGCTTGGCATATGGACAGTAAACCAGGATGACAAAGCTAGCCTTGCTAAGTCAAAGGGTTAGGAAAATGTCACCTCTAAACCTCGCACATAAACAAGTTGTATCTCTTTACTTAACATTGTAAAGGGTAAAAGGAACACATTGTATTTTTTGAGCATCTGCTTGACCATTTATAAGCTAACACGTTAATGGTAACTTTTCATTTAGCTTGCTTTCATGACAGCATTATACATCTTCACATCCAACTCTTAGCAAGAAAGCAGATAAGCATATTTCCCAAAAATATCAAACTATGTAATTAAAGCTGCATTATTATATATGTTGTCCACATTAGGGGAGAATAACTAATTATTTTGTCCATGGTTGATTTGAAAATGCACGTAAAAAGTGTTGTTGAATCACACTGGTCAAAAGTTAACATGTAGTTAGTTTGACAAACCAAACGTTTTTTCATACTGGGTGCAATTAGAATAATAACGGTTATAAACTAAAGCTTGAAGAAATAAAATGTCGAAGGAGTTTTTGGTTTGTTGTCTTCACAGCCATCGACTGAAGCCAGTCTTTAAAAAGCAGGCTGTTTATAAAAAATTGACTCGGTTTTGTTTTAGACAAAGCAGAGAATTCAGTTTCTTCTTGAGCTTTGAGAGCAAATCGCAAGATCACTGAAAACATCTAAAGGGCTGATGCAATCAGGTCTGCTTTGTTTTAATATTGATGATCACAAGCTCCTTCTTTAGCACAGATACGAAAAGAAAACTATTTAGCTTCATATTAGAGTGCTATTTTAACAGCTTGAGCACAGTTTGTAGCTAGTTAACTGCTGCTGGGTTACAGTTTGACTTAACAGCATTTACTCTGTTCATCAGGTTTCCTCACCACTCTCTCCTCCCTCAGACAGCTCGGAGGTGGACACCCCCAGGATGTCACACAGCTGCTGGGCTCCCTGCTTCTCCGTGTCGCTGGCACCCACGCCCCCCCACATGAAGCAGCCTCCGGGGGTCACCAGGACAAAGACATCGTTGGAGTTCAGGTTGGATGACGCCACGTCAAGCTGCATGGAAACAGAGATTTTATAAGTTAACATGTGCTACTTAAACTCTAATGATTGTGTTTCAAACTGCCTTTACTACACAGTGTAGTACAAATATAGTAAAATAGTAAAAAGAGCAATGGCGAGCAATGCTGGTGTGAATTAGGCAGCAACCAGACTTTACTGTTTTGTACATTAAAGCTTCAATAGGTTCTTCTACATGGTGCAAAATCGACCCCATTTGAATGCAATAGATATTAAAATGGTCCAGTATTACGCAAATTTAGGAAAGAAGTATTAATGGACAGTGTGAAAAAAATTAATATTTGCCTAAATAAAAACTGTCTGTCTATTACAGTATCGTGTAGTCCTGGTAAATGGTAAGAAAGATTATATACAGAATTCTACTACTGAAGTTCAATTCATTTGTAGAATCAAGGGATGTCTTCTGCAGCCAACAACCTTTGAACACATCATTAAGCATTTTTAATAAGAAAGGATAAATAGAAAAATCCTCAATGGCTTATTATTAGGCATGAAGCATTAAAGAAAGGATGGCATTACATTTATAATTGACCCTAACTAATAATAAATGCTATGCTAACACCAAAATCATTAACCCTGTCTGTAGCACTCAGTCTTCAGCCTAAGTGTTACAACTGAACAAATACAGAGTTCAATTGTATATACAAAAAAACCCCATTAACTTCCTAAAAGAGCTGATCAATGTAGTTTTAAGCAAACCCATTTGTTTGGGACTATCGTCGGCTGTGGATTAATACACATTTGGTGCTCCGTGTTTGTTTGTTCATTATAATGATTGATTTGTTTTTGGACAACAATGGAGCTCTAGGGCACAGAGGAAAAATATATGACAGAGTTGAACTACACACACAAGATTTAAGTTTGTTTTGGTATTTTTCGTTATTTGTTATCACTGAGAAAATGATAGAATATAATATAATATAATGTATATACAAATAAAATGGTAAAGTTATATGAC